GTAATTGAAAGATCTCAAGCTGTCATTGCTAAAAATTATTTTGGACCAAAAAAAGTCTTGTCATTGTGTTTGCCTCATGCATTGTTTTTGACTACTGTGCGCGAAGCACACAATGGGAGTCTTTGCGATTAGTCTGTTTGTATGTGTGTATGTGTATGCTTTCTGTCTGTCTGTTTCACTGATATCTCAGGTACTAATCATCACATTTCAATAAAACTTACTAGATACATAGGAAAATGCACGTACAGATATGTGAAATATTAATTTCCTAATTTGCATAATTAATAAATTTTCAGCTTTTGATATATCAAGTAGTATTACTTCATTACTTTTCAATGAAACTTGGTACATAGATGCTCTAGAACAATGCAGAGACCTGACTAATTTGGGGTAAAAATGTTTGCATATTAATCAACTAATTTGCATAATTAACACTGATGTCACAAGTACTAATTATCCCATTTCAATGAATCTTGGTACATCGATGCTCTAGAACAATGTACAGGCCTGCTCAGTTTTGGTTTGAAATCAGATCATATTAATTATCTAATTTGCATAATAATTCATAATTTTTTGGTTCTAATCACATTTCAATGAAAATTCATAGATAGATGGTCTGTGACAGTATTTATCTTAATTCAATGAATCTTAGGGTTCGGACAGTTACTTTGGCCTGGGGTGGGTTGGTGGGTCAGTGGGGGGGGGGGGTTAACTCTGTTTTTGATTTTGCGAATATTGGGGGGGCAGCCTGTTTTTGATATCATAAATGGGGGGGGCACCATGTTTTCCAGAATTCACACTCGTGCTTATACATACATTTTTAAAAATTTATTTCAGAGTAAAAGATAAAAAAGTTAATTGTACAAACGTGTTCTCAATAATAACTATTACCTATATTACCACAAAATGATATCACTAAAGTAGTGATGTCACAAAATGATATCACTAAAGTGGATATCACAAAATGATATCACTAAAGTGAATATCACGAAATGATATCACTAAAGCGGATATCACAAAATGATATCACTAAAGTGGATATCACAAAATTCTATCACTAAAGTGGATATCACAAAATTCTATCACTAAAGTGGATATCACAAAATGATATCACTAAAGTAGTAATGTCATAAAATGATATCACTAAAGTGGATATCACAAAATTATATCACTAAAGTGAATATCACAAAATGATATCACTAAAGTGGATATCACAAGATTATATCACTAAAGTGGATATCACAAGATAATATCATTAAAGTGGATATCACAAAATTCTATCACTAAAGTGGATATCACAAGATTCTATCACTAAAGTGGATATCACAAAATGATATCACTAAAGTGGATATCACAAAATTCTATCACTAAAGTGGATATCACAAAATGATATCACTAAAGTGGATATCACAAAATGATATCACTAAAGTGGATATCACAAAATGATATCACTAAAGTAGTGATGTCATAAAATGATATCACTAAAGTGGATATCACAAAATGATATCACTAAAGTGAATATCACAAAATGATATCACTAAAGTAGTGATGTCATAAAATGATATCACTAAAGTGAATATCACAAAATGATATCACTAAAGGGGATATCACAAAATTATATCACTAAAGTGGATATCACAAAATTATATCACTAAAGTGGATATCACAAGATTATATCACTAAAGTGGATATCACAAGATAATATCATTAAAGTGGATATCACAAAATTCTATCACTAATGTGGATATCACAAGATTCTATCACTAAAGTGGATATCACAAAATTCTATCACTAAAGTGGATATCACAAAATTCTATCAAAAGTAGTGATGTCACAAAATTATGTCACTAAAGTGGATATCACAAAATGATATCACTAAAGTGAATATCACAAAATGATATCACTAAAGTAGTGATGTCACAAAATGATATCACTAAAGTGAATATCACAAAATGATATCACTAAAGTGGATATCACAAAATGATATCACTAAAGTGAATATCACAAAATGATATCACTAAAGTGGATATCACAAAATTCTATCACTAAAGTGGATATCACAAAATTCTATCACTAAAGTGGATATCACAAAATTCTATCACTAAAGTGGATATCACAAAATTCTATCACTAAAGTGGATATCACAAAATTATATCACTAAAGTAGTGATGTCATAAAATGATATCACTAAAGTGGATATCACAAAATTATATCACTAAAGTGAATATCACAAAATGATATCACTAAAGTGGATATCACAAAATGATATCACTAAAGTGGATATCACAAGATTATATCACTAAAGTGGATATCACAAGATAATATCATTAAAGTGGATATCACAAAATTCTATCACTAAAGTGGATATCACAAAATTCTTTCACTAAAGTGGATATCACAAAATTCTATCACTAAAGTGGATATCACAAAATGATATCACTAAAGTAGTGATGTTACAAAATGATATCACTATAGTGGATATCACAAAATGATATCACTATAGTGGATATCACAAAATGATATCACTAAAGTGAATATCACAAAATGATATCACTATAGTGGATATCACAAAATGATATCACTAAAGTGGATATCACAAAATTCTATCACTAAAGTGGATATCACAAAATTCTATCACTAAAGTGGATATCACAAAATGATATCACTAAAGTAGTGATGTCATAAAATGATATCACTAAAGTGGATATCACAAAATGATATCACTAAAGTGGATATCACAAAATTCTATCACTAAAGTGGATATCATAAAATTCTATCACTAAAGTGGATATCACAAAATTCTATCACTAAAGTGGATATCACAAAATGATATCACTAAAATGGATATCACAAAATGATATCACTAAAGTGGATATCACAAAATGATATCACTAAAGTGGATATCACAAAATGATATCACTAAAGTAGTGATGTCATAAAATTCTATCACTAAAGTGGATATCACAAAATGATATCACTAAAGTAGTAATGTCATAAAATGATATCACTAAAGTGGATATCACAAGATTATATCACTAAAGTGGATATCACAAGATAATATCACTAAAGTGGATATCACAAAATTCTATCACTAAAGTGGATATCACAAGATTCTATCACTAAAGTGGATATCACAAAATTCTATCACTAAAGTGGATATCACAAAATTCTATCACTAAAGTGGATATCACAAAATTCTATCAAAAGTAGTGATGTCACAAAATTATGTCACTAAAGTGGATATCACAAAATGATGTCACTAAAGTAGTGATGTCACAAAATGATATCACTAAAGTGAATATCACAAAATGATATCACTAAAGTGGATATCACAAAATGATATCACTAAAGTGGATATCACAAAATTCTATCACTAAAGTGGATATCACAAAATTCTATCACTAAAGTGGATATCACAAAATGATATCACTAAAGTGGATATCACAAAATGATATCACTAAAGTGGATATCACAAGATTATATCACTAAAGTGGATATCACAAGATAATATCATTAAAGTGGATATCACAAAATTCTATCACTAAAGTGGATATCACAAAATTCTATCACTAAAGTAGTGATGTCACAAAATGATATCACTAAAGTGGATATCACAAAATGATATCACTAAAGTGGATATCACAAAATGATATCACTAAAGTGGATATCACAAAATGATATCACTAAAGTGGATATCACAAAATTCTATCACTCAAGTGGATATCACAAAATTCTATCACTAAAGTGGATATCACAAAATTCTATCACTAAAGTAGTGATGTCACAAAATTCTATCACTAAAGTAGTGATGTCACAAAATTCTATCACTAAAGTGGATATCACAAAATGATATCACTAAAGTAGTGATGTCATAAAATGATATCACTAAAGTGGATATCACAAAATGATATCACTAAAGTGGATATCACAAAATGATATCACTAAAGTGGATATCACAAAATGATATCACTAAAGTAGTGATGTCATAAAATTCTATCACTAAAGTGAATATCACAAAATGATATCACTAAAGTGAATATCACAAAATGATATCACTAAAGTGGATATCACAAGATTATATCACTAAAGTGGATATCACAAAATTATATCACTAAAGTGGATATCACAAAATTATATCACTAAAGTGGATATCACAAAATTATATCACTAAAGTAGTGATGTCACAAGATTATATCACTAAAGTGGATATCACAAAATTCTATCATTAAAGTAGATATTGTCTGAAGTAGGGTTGTCGCAATGTATAATGACTGAGATAGTAATCCCAATGACATCAAACTTTTGCTGGCCAATTATCCAACCTCTTAAATTTGTGTCAGTAGCAAATTGTTTATTTTCATTGTACTAAAAATAGATATTTATTGTGGCACCTAGAATCAGTTACAGTAATTTTGTTTTACTTTAGGTTATACCCTGCTATACCTTATATAAATCGGACAATGAGAGAGGATATTGCCCTCCAAGGCTATCACATACCTGCTGGGGTAAGCATTTACTGAGGCATGTTTCATCAGTTTACTCACAATCTCTGTGTTCATGTGTAAATGTCATACATTTTACTAGCAAAATATATTGTTAATTTAATTTGCATAAATATACTTGGACAATTTCACACTGTAACAGTTTATCATACATTGTATGTCCTGCTCATCAAATTTTAATGAAACTGGATAATATGCTCCTGTAAAAATATGTGCATATTAATTACCTAATTTGCATAAACTGGGACAAATTTAAAGATGCACAGATCTAAGTGTAACTTAGTTCATAGTGTATGAGTTGAGGTGGGACAATATCATTCAAAGGGACAATTGAAGGCTTCGTGGATTATCAACTTCTGTGTTCTGTGTGAAGTGATTGTCTCCTTTCTTTGTTTGTTTTCAGACACCCTTGTTATTGTTACTTTATAAGACGAGCAGAAATGACAAATATTTCAAAGATCCACTTCAGTTCAAGCCAGAGAGATGGTTAGCAAAAGAAACAAATGTCACATTTGCTTCAATGCCATTTGGATTTGGACCCAGAATGTGCATTGGTGAGGAAATCATTGAATCCTGTTGATTTCTCTCAACATTTTCTCATTGCACCCTTCAATTAGCTGTATTATGTTGTGTGTCTGTCTATTTTAGGGACAAATAGTCGACAATAATGGTGGGGGGGGAGCATGTGAGACATGCAACAAAGGTATCGGGTACTGTAGCAAATACAGACATAAGACCAAGGCTATAATGAAAAAACTGGACAAGAGATTTATGTATCTGATGACCATATATGGTGATCTTGCTATGCATAACTCAAACACTGGTGCAGTGCTATAATAAAGACACTGTACAAGGGATAAGCCTAACATCAATTACATGACATTGTATAATGTCACCTCATTGATAATTAGTCCCAGTTCAGACGCAGTTCGAAAACGGGGACTTATGTTTTGACCTCCGGTTGTCCGTGCTTTCTGTGCATCCGGACCTATATCTTAGAAATGGATTTCTTAGTACATACGTTAGACATTACGGGTTTCTGATACACGTCATTTTATTTTTCAGATTGGATTCAAAATGGCTGACTGGCGGCCATTTTGTTTTAATGGTTCTAGTGCCATATCTCTGACATGCTTTGACTGATTATGTTCAAATTTTTAATATTCATTATACATCATGTCATAGATATACATTTATATTGGTTTGACGATCATATTCAAAGTGGCCGATTGGTGGCCATTTTTGTGCTAAAAAAATCATCAAATATCAAGCATTTCTGGATGGATTTCGTTCAGACTTATAACATACATTAGACATTACAAGTTCCTGATGCACGTCATTTTATTTTTCAGATCGAAAAATGACTGACTGGTGGCCATTTTGTTTTAATGAATGGACTTCTAGAGCCATATCTCTGACATGCTTTGACTGATTATGTTCAAATTTTATATATTCATTATACATCATGTTATAGATATATACATGTATTCAAAATGGCTGATTTTGTTTTAATTAATGCTGTTCCAGAGCAATATCCCTCAATGTGGACAAGTACTTGTTTGACAATCAGATACAAATGTCAATCATTTTAATGTTAAACAATCATCATAATCATATTCCTGACATGGTTATATTCCAGCTATATTACTATAAACAAAACTATATATCTTAAATTTGATAACTAACGGGGACTGTGCCATGCATAGCTTGTTCTCTATAATTTTACTATATAGAGATTGAGTGCAGATAGATGTGCAAACAGTGTTATGATTGAGGCATCAAACAAAAATATGACCAACATCTGATAGTCATGTGACCACAGTATACAATCTATATAATGCTTTTGCTTTATATTATAAACAGTGGGTCACATTGCAGTGCTGTAGTAGTCACCAGGCTTATTTACAAAGCTAATTTGAAATTTTGTCGTACTTATAGATAAATTTCTCCATAAGTTGATAACTTGCAAATGTTTTCATCATAAATAGCTGATTCAGCTTCAAATCTAGTATGACCTTGAACAATCTGACTATTTTTACCCATGAGTAAAACATGAAATTCATCACCAATAGTCTGTTCATTATATAGGGAACAAAACTTTGCTATGTTTTTTTTTTTTACCATATCTAAGTTTTTCAACTGGCAATGAGTGAGAACAAATGTTAAACTCAGTGGAGCTGACTGTGTTTCACATTTTTGATTTTTTAAACTGTCGGTTTAAAAGTCCTTTAATTGTCCTTGAAATAAATAAAAAAAATTACTATTATTGCATTATGTTGGTTTGTTTTATAGGCCGACGACTGGCAGAACTACAGCTGCATCTTGTCTTACCCAGGGTAAGTAATACTGTTCATGCAAATTTGGTTAATTGTCTTTCTTTCAATTGGTGTGGAGGATATAAAGTTTACAATTCTAGATAGTCTATTAGTGTTCATTTTATTGACTCTTGTGTTTGATCAGAGTTGTTGCAGTGACCCTGTATGTCGAATTCTTTTTTTGCTTTCAGATTTCAAGGCACTTTATATTGGAAAGTACAACAGAGGTGCAGCACAAAATGGAGTTGACCATCAAACCAGACAGGGATTTAAATCTTAAATTTATTGATAGGCGTACGATTTAAATGTTTTTGTGTTCCAATGAGAGTTAGTAGTGAAATACCTGAGAATTATAGATAATTTGGAAATACATGTATGTAGCCATCCATGCTTCATAAGTCCCTGTTCGAACCAAATCTTTTCATTCTTTGCATGTGCCCAGTACTTTATCTAGGACATATGCACGTGTAGTGGTTTACTGATTCTATTCAAGATGGCTGACTGGCAGCCATTTTGTCAGCTTTTGTTCAAATTTGGTACATACATCATACACATTAGGATACATGTCTATGACAATTCGTTTCACGATCGGATCAAAGATGGCTGACTGGCAGCCATCTTGTTTTTTGAAAATGTGGTATCTCATGCATGCTTTGTCAGTTTTTGTTCAAATTTTGTACATATATTGTACATTTTAGATTACATGTCCACGACAATTTGTTTTACAATCGTATCAAAGATGGCCAACTGGTGGCCATCTTGCTTTTTGACCTTACTACTATATCTCCAAGGCTTAGGGACCATTTTCATTCTTATTTGGCACATACATCATACATGCCAGTTTGTTTCCTAATCAGATCAAAGATGGCCAACTGGCATCCATCTTGTTTTTTGGTCAGAATTTATCGTTTTTTGTTCAAATTAGATACAAACATTATATATGTTGACATACATCTCCATGATGATTTGTTTTGTGTTTGAATCCAAAATGACCAACTGGCAGCCATTTTGGTTTTTTCAAAATGTATCATTGACATGTCAGGATACATGTCCATGGCAATCGGGACAAAGATGGTTGACATACTACTTTATCTCTGTAAATGAGTCTGGAAAAAGGAAATTCAATTTGGATAGCATATCCAATTTAATTTTATTACATATAATTTCTGTTGATACTAGACCAGCCATTTATTTAATACTAACTATGTTTTTGGTCTGTAACTTTAATTTTTGGCATGAATAACATTTCCTCTAATTGCACCTGGGACTAGGTCATTCGTAAATTTTAAATGTCTTAAAACATTGTATCCAAGCAACTTTGAACAATGGAAGAACTTTCATTTACAGGAGAGTAGATGTACCAATGACTAAATTTATATCTTAGAAGGCATAGAATGTCTTTGAAATATTTGTTTTAATTATGCGTTTACGCCCATAGGAACATCTAAAAATGTATTAGCATTGTGGAATTAGAATAGACAGCGTGTACTGTCATGGCTAATTTATATTCTTCTGTTCTTGTTTGTGCAAGACGACCATGAACAGTTGTTCAGTCAGTCAGTTAGTTCCAGCTCATCTCCAGTGCAAACAACCGCGAATGTCAACATGGCAGCTAGCACATGTTAGATGCAAGACAGCCTGTAGTGATTCTACGCTATGAAACCAACAAAGTTGAATCTATCTTGTGCATAATTCAGGTATAGACAGATCTATAAAACAAATTTGTATCTCAATGAATGTACACTCCCCTTCCCCCCCCCCCCCAATAACTAGACATAGAATTATAGAAACAGTACGGATGTACAAACGACCATCTAAAGAATCAGATTCTTTTCAGCTTCCTTCCATAGCTCGTTTTCACCAAAATATTGCTCATTCTAGAAACTAATATACCCCGGTACCCTTTTCATAAGTCTGCCACCCTCAATGTATTCATATTTAATGAATTTGAAGAATGGAAGCCGCAACAATGCAGTAGCCTATAAAATGACCATTGAGTTACCCTATTTGCCCTTTTTCAAGTTTCATTAAATATGCAAACATGATGTATTGCATTTTAATTATTTACTATATTTTATTTAGCCTCAGATCATTAAAGTTGTGTACAAGCTAAAATTCGGCGTGGAAAGAGTCCTCATCGACCTTGCATTGATTTCATTTCAGTTTCCCACAAGGGCATGTGCTATAAGTTAAGAGATATTTTCAAGTTTCACTGGTGTGACAATGTGATATTCAGCAAATATGTAAATTTTGATAGCCACAATGTTGCTAACCTTTTTTAGACAGGATACACATCTTGATGAATAACATCATCCATACAGACAAAGTTTGACTGAATCCATGGTTCGAACAGAAAACATTCATGGTCAAGCAATTGCATCATTTGCTTGCTGGCAACGTATGTGACAGGAGAGTATGGTACTCAGCACTGATAATACTGATGCAATACATTACATAAATTCATTTGAAAAAAACAAATTTATATTCATATCATGAATTGCCATGTTATAAAGGTGAATGACAGGTTATACCTGTTTACAACTCTGGAAGGACAATTAAAATCTACCAGGTGTTCTTGTGATTTTTTGTTTCTGTTTATTCATGAATATTCAACAGTTGCTCCACATGGTAACCAAACTGTTGATAATGTTCTGCTCGATGAGAATAACTATTTGCCATGGTGGGTAGTGTTCCCACAATGCTCTTGCCATATCACAACGATGGTAGTTTCTTTAGTAGTTGTCATAACAATTGAAAATGAACAGGTTACTCTGGTACCCAAGACTTGTTTGCATTTTAGATGCATCTTCTGGCAATGCTTTTAACCCTTATCCTGCCAGCATCATGTACATTGCCTTGATCAGATAAAGGTTAATGGCATCATCTGGTTTGAGAAGAATATTGTGTACAAACTAAACTAACCCACATAAAAAGAAAATGGACACATTTTACCCAAACTGTTGTCTTTATTTGTTTCTCACCCTAACCATGCATATGCATAATGACTACAGCCCAATAACTGAATTATAGAAAACCTTCCCAGTATTTAAACCATTTTATACAATTATAAATAATATAGATTAAAAGCTGGTAGCAAGTGTCACTCATTTTAATATTTGTCCTATATCTCTTGAGCTTAGAAAGAACTACAAAATTGATACATTTTCATACATCTTGCAATGACTTAAATAGGTTGGTCCTGCTGAATTCTACTCAAATAGCGCAACATGATTGCAAGATTGATAAATAAATCTTTAACTATTGCTTAGGAGAAGTGATGGGTTAACTTAAGAAAACTCTCCCATACAGATTTCAGTGAAGAACTTGCATATTTTCAAAAGACACCATTTCCAGAAAAATTGTGTAGATATTCAGAATTGAAATTCTGATTAAAAACAATATACAGTAATTACTCACACATACTTTTTAAGGCAACAATTATTTGGTGCATTGAAATATTCTTTTTCCTGAAAACCATCTCATCGGCAGTCCAACTGATGCACACGTGGATTGTGAATTACATAATATATATATATATGTACAGAATTATATTGTTACAGATTGAGGGTTGACCGGCAGGCCACTTCAGTTTAAGAAACCCAAACCAAACTTAAAAACAAAAAGACTATGTACAGAAATAAAATGAAGATGTACACAACTGTCAGATAATGATTGAAATCAACATTTGTTGTTGCAATGCTACCAAAGCAGTAATCGCTTAACTAAAACACTAATTGTCACAAGTCAGGTTACCTATTGTGAGGCATTATTATTCAAAGATAACTCTAGAGTTTCACTAACTTTTACAATTTGGTGCAAAGAATGTCACACTGACAAGAAAGCTGGCTATGGAGACGATTTTGCTGCTGGTCAACTTACAATGAAATAATTAAAGTATGCATTCATACCAGCATATCCAGCACTACCCACTGAGGGGGGCCTGTCAGAGTAAGGGTATCCAGCACTACCCACTGAGGGGGTCTGTCAGAGTAAGGGTACCCAGCACTACCCACTGAGGGTGCCTGTCAGAGTAAGGGTACCCAGCACTACCCACTGAGGGTGCCTGTCAGAGTAAGGGTATCCAGCACTACCCACTGAGGGGGGCCTGTCAGAGTACAAGTATCCAGCACTACCCACTGAGGGGGGCCTGTCAGAGTACAAGTATCCAGCACTACCCACTGAGGGGGCCTGTCAGAGTAAGGGTATCCAGCACTACCCACTGAGGGGGCCTGTCAGAGTAAGGGTACCCAGCACTACCCACTGAGGGGGCCTGTCAGAGTACAAGTATCCAGCACTACCCACTGAGGGGGGCCTGTCAGAGTAAGGATACCCAGCACTACCCACTGAGGGGGCCTGTCAGAAATGGGTACCCAGCACTACCCACTGAGGGGGGCCTGTCAGAAATGGGTACCCAGCACTACCCACTGAGGGGGGCCTGTCACAGAACGGTTATCCAGCACTACCCACTGAGGGGGCCTGTCAGAAATGGGTACCCAGCACTACCTACTGAGGGGGGTCTGTTAGAGTAAGGGTATCCAGTACAACCCAATGAGAGGCCCAATCACAAAAGGGTATCCAGCAATACTTGCTGAGGGAGGCATGTTACAGAAAGGGTATCCAAGACAACCCAACATACAGTCACTACCCTACTGCTAAAAAATAATATTGTTGTATCTAATGGAAGCTTGTTTCCTTTGGATAACTGTAACCAAACTGGCATGAGTCTTATTTGTGTTTATGGAAGGAAAGTGTGGATGGGTTGGTTTTATAAACTTATGTATACATTAGTATAATGACAGATTGAAAGTCAGTATTTCAGTGTTATTGTCGTGAAAGTGTTTATGAAGATTGAAAAACAAAACAAAACATGATTATGTGATTGGCATATCATGAGTAAATGGTATATGTACATCACTATCTAATTTACACGGGTGATCATTATCTGAGATACATTAATATTTTTCAGTTATATTGCTATTTAGACAAATGTGATATGCAAGTAAAAATGTCAAAAAATCCAACTGCAATATCCAACTAATTGAGAACAAGAATGACTGCACTTTTCTGTTGTTTTTTTGGTATAGCTCACCAAATGAAACTAACCAACTAATTCTCTACATATATTTCATAGGTGCATGTTCACCAAATTTACACCCTTACAACATAACTTTTAGTTCCAGCGATATAAAACATGAAAACTGAGCAAAAAAGCCACCTTCATAAGGAAAACAGAAAAAAAAAGTTATAATATGCCTCTTCGAGATGAGGTTGATCTCTAAGAATAAATTACTACAACTGCGTTTGTTTCTTATCCAGGTGCCAAGCTCATTTATTCTTCAGTGGCAACAACTTGGTTAATAAGTACAGGAACACCATTCTCCTTTGCTTCTACAGCTTTGTCTATTTTAGTTTGTTGGTCCCGGGTATTGTTCAAGCTACAAGTAAAATGATCAAAGGTCAAGTTGAATTCCACCCCCAAAAACATTCAAAAAATATTTTTTGGTAAAAAAAAAAAATAATATCTTCAGGTTGGTGTTATCATGCACATAGTGAGAAGTGGAGGAGAGGGAAGCTTCAGCATGCATTTGAAGACTTCACAGACTTGGCCAGCCATAGAACGTAGCAAGTGTATTGAGATAACTTGGCCTAAGGTAGAGGAAAAGAAAGGAAGACAGTAGAATAAGATGCAGGAGATGCAGGAAAGACAAGAAAAACATCTGATTCAGAACTTGTTGGGATTTAAAAACTACTGTAAACCCATCAATTATTCACTAGTTTTTAATTTTGCTTGTTTCTGGCAAGTAAAATCCACTAAATTAAATCTATGTGAACATCTGAAATAACAATAGAACTCATTGTTCCCTTGTCAAATTCGTGAAATTAAAAACCAGTGAAATAGTGAAAATTTAAATGCCAGTGAAAATAATAATGGTTTTACAGTATTTTGATGTAGTGTCAAGAAAAGTAACTGCTATGTAGTTAAAATGTTATAGTTGTCTTATGAATTTGAACTAACATTAATCAGTGTTTCCTCTAAGCCTTCCTCTGTGTGGTGCCCAAATTTCTCAGGGAAATTTTAGCAACTTGACAAACATTTTTTGAAAATTTATGAATTTTGAATTCAAATACACTTGATACAATGCGTTTTTGAAGATGATATCACAGCATTTATCAGTACCTATTTTGCTTTAAGGAAACACTAACAATCATAAGATGTATGTGAAATGTACAATATTTTATTTGTAACATAGCATCGTAAAATCTGTATTAGAAGCCAAATCCATAATCAAAGTTGCACCCATTATTTTTTAAACAATTGAGAACTAAAAGTTCACTATTTCCATATGTGTAAATGCTTTAATAGAAGGTGCATCCCCTCTGTTGCATTGTACCATTTTAATAGAAACTGCGGCTTCTATTAGATTTTACAGTAGATGCTATAGACCTCAATCAAGGGTAAATGATATCAAGGGTTACACTTTCATGACCATACATGGTGATAAGTGAGGAAAGATCTCATTAAAATCACATGAGAACATGAAAGTCCATACATCTTTCATAAAGCCTGACACCAACAATAATAATATCAGGCTGTGTTGTTGTTTTATTACCAGGGGTATTTCTAGAAATGTGAGTACTTTGTCTTATGATTTCATTGTGATCTCCAGTACATGTCACCTTGTTTGTATCAATAAATATAAGAAAAAAAAATAACTAATATAAACAGACTAAAAATAAGGTAAGGCACAGGGAGCCCTTACCATGGAGACCCAGAGTACAGTCGTTTTTACCTCTCTTCGGCAATATTTACATCAGAGTTCTGGGTTGTATTGGATGTTGAGAGTGATGAATCATCTGTGATGACGCAGACTTTGTCACTGGATGAGGAACTCGTATTTGCAGCACTTTTTTGCAAGGGAGAGTTTCCTGGGGATACACAGTTCGCTTCAGAGGTCTTTTTAGTTGGACTAGTAGCAGGGCTGTTTTGTTGAATCTGCATATGATACTTGTATGTTGTTTCAGTACTCTCAAGTTCACCTGACGGAAAAATAATTCATGAGGTCATGATTTTGGAATGTTCGCAAGGATGAATGTCACAGGGAATCAAGATTTTAACTTCAGACATAAATTGGTAGTTGTCTTGACAATTTATGAAAATATGAAACTGGCTGGCCACTGTAATCACGAAAATACAGAAATCTGACGCAATATTAAGTATTAAGTATCAAATATTTAGGTACTCAGATTCACTGAAAGTTTCAAAATGCTTTGAGTAGTTGTCTGAAAAGCAAAATGTCTTTTCATTTTTCTTGCATTCATAAGATTAAATGTACAAAAATTATTATATTCATGCGAACAACCAATTTCAAACATATCAAAAATTTGACTCTGGGGGAAAAATTAAAATCATAAAAATTTTGTGAGGGTGATTTATGCACAAGAGACATCAGCATATAAAACAGTACTTCAGTATTGGTTCATGTACCCGTGTTAAATTATTCACTTACCTGAGCTTAGATTTAATGACCTTCCCTTCATTTTGCCGTCCTTTGGTAACGGTGACCACCAGTTGACAAGCGATCCAACCATTGGGATTTGACGTAATACACCCTGCAATTACACAATATTACCCACAATTCATTAGAGTCAAAGAAGTCCATTGTTCATACTAATACACAACAAACTATTTATTTGTTTGTTTGTTTGTTGCAACAATTTTTTATAGGGATCTCACTATTTCAATAAATAGGAGATACATAACTATAACTTGAATATCGATGACAGAAGAAGAACAAGTGTTACTGGGCGTTCTGCATTACCAGACATTTCACAGAGTACCCTCTATCAACATTCTTTATTAGAGCGCCCTCTATCACTATTTGTGTTTTCCTGGTTTTCCACCTCAAGTGTCTCAGACTTTGTTCCATTTTCCTTGGTTACCTGACATCAGCTTTTATGCTCCAAATCACAGAAAGAGGTCATTCTATATACTGTAAAATGACTAATTTTCACTGGGTTTAAATTTCACTAATTTACCATTTCAGCATATTCAGTGGGTTTTAAATTCACGGTTTCGTCATTTAGATAATGTGTTTTATGCTAAATTTTACATATTCACTGGGTTTTAATTTAACGCATTCTCCAGTCAGCGAAATAAGATAAATTAAAACCCAGTGAATAATTACCCCCTTTACAGTATAGAAAACGGGGGCTTCTTTTTACTCTTATTTTTTACTACTGTCCCAACCAACATTTCAGGAGGCCTAAGCAGGCAAATTGGCATGAGTGACATTATTGATTATAGACAGGTTAGCTTAGAATGAATGTCAAAATGTTTTCAAACTATGTGAAACTAGAGACAGAATTCCAACACAGAGAAAAAATATGGAGATTGCTAATAGTATCTTACTTGCAGTTTGCAATGGACCAATAGATTTTTTGTCTGTGCAAGCTTATCATTCAGGTAAAAATGAACACCAATAAACATAAAATTGACAAATCAATCTACAATAACTGCAAAGGGCTACAAAAGTTCACTTGCCTCTTCCATCAACTTGTCTTGTTCTTCTTTCTTCAGCTGTTCATTTGCAGTCACAATTCCTTTCCTAATGACTTCAGCCATTGTTTCTAAGAACTAGAAAAACATGTACCAAATTAGGAATTAAATAATTATGAATTTTTTTTTTTCCATGTCATTTACAGCCAGTGTAACTTTCAGCCTATGTCGGTTTCGGAAAATTGACATGACATGAACAAACTGATGTGAATGATGAATACTTTCACCAGAAAAACCAGTGCAAACAACAAAGATGATGTAACAATAATGCCATTTTCTGTAACACTTATCTCAAAATATTAATTCAGCGACCTATACTTTTGAGAGTGAATGCATGAAAAAAATCCTATACATACTAAGCAATTTGTCTGTGTACATGTATTATTAAGGTGAACAGACTAGCTTGGCTGCAGTTTTAGAGAACCAATCAGCATAAACAATCCATATGACTGTAGGTGTATAACCCAAGTATTGAGTGAATACTTGCACTTGCTGTGATAAAACCATAGAAATAACAGTCGCCTTGAAAAAAGGATGAAAGCATATATCAACTTTTGCATTGTTTATTAGGTAACACAGGTTAACTGGGCATACCTTAGACGAGTCTTCTACCTCCTTGCCGATAGTATGAATCATTTCTACTAAATCTTCTACTTCAACGTGTGAAGTCAATACGCCAACACCTACGCATAGTGTACCATTCGTTTGTTTCTGTACGCTGAATAGGTAGGCCTCCTCCAAGGAATGGAGACGCGATACTAAATCATAGTTCAAGCTATCTATTTCCGATTTCCCATTATCTGGTAAGTTATCCAGCCTGCTTTCCCACAGATGTGGAATATATCTATTGAATGAAAGAGTAGGATAGTAGACTATAATGGAATTCAAAGGGTGATGGTCATGTGACGGCATTTTCAACTATGGGTCCCATACTATGCATATCATTATACATGCATTTACATTTCCTCTCTTGATTAAGTTTATAAAGCAAGTATCACAAGTTACCACAGTCACTGATATAACAACAAGCAGATTTTTTGACAAATAATGATAGTGCTTACAAATTTGCCTTAAAAAAAATCATTTTTGAATCGAACGTTTGCTATGCTATATAACAAAGTGTTGATGAAGTTGGTCAAGTTTGAATCTAACCAAAACAAGAATGTCACGAAATAAAAAGGCATACAAAATAGTTTTTGTTTTAATTGTTAAAAAATATTGCTCCTACAAATCTGACACATGGACAGCTTTTAACATTTAGCTTTTCAAATCTTATTTCACATTCTTAATGGTATACATCTGCAATGAAGTAAGATAATAGCACAACAATTTTGATCAAAGTGCTTTAAAAATCAAATTCACACAGCCCTTGAAATAAATTATAACTCGCTGAACCAAGACCCCATTGCACATGTTACCCGCACCAGCTTGGATTGGTAGAATATAAAAGGGATTACACAAAGGTGAACTAAAATATTTTTTTATTAATTTAAAACATAATTTTTATTCAACGCATAAAAATTGGATTATAATACAAAAGATAACATCAGCAATAGATAGAGATCACAGCATGCATGTTAGAATATCAATATTTCCATGGCAACCCAACATATTTATGTGATTTTATGTTTTATGCATAAGCTGAAACATGGGTAATTAAATGTTGAGGACATTTTTGATTTGGATAAAAACATTTTTTCAAGAATGGGACTAAAATTCTGCTCAAATTACCAATATCAGGTTATTATGCCAGAAAATGTTAATTTTAAAAAGAATAAAAATTTGAAAATAGTATTTTTCAGAAAATGGGACATTAGTAATTTTACTAATGTCCGCCAGTCTGTGTGCCATTCCTAATTTTGTAAAACATGGTCAGAAATGAACATTCGAAAAACAAGACACACAGACAGACGCACACATGTCCAATATCACACACTAAAGAAGAGGACAATGAGAACTCAAAACTTACTGCACAGCTCCAATGCCACCAAAACCATTTACTTCCACCACTGACAGGCTATCTTTGGCATCAACTTCCTTCTGGAATATATCTCTACATTTCAATGTATAGTTTAATTGCACCTGGAAATATATAAAGAGATATCATGGTGCTATTTTAATTTCTGAGATGTATTAACCCAATAAGCTCATTTCCAGTAACTACCAACACCTCATACGACTTTCACCATGACAACCCAATGTTAAAAATGATGTCACAATGTGTACAGCAATTATGTTTTACTAGCTTTTGTACCATTCAACATGGAAATATAAGTGTACAGTGTTTGCTGCTTGGCATGATCCTGCTTGAACTTCAGTTCTCACTGTTGCCCAAAAACAACCAATAAACGCTGTTCTTGTTGTGATTGTGTGATAACATAATCAATGCATATTCAGATTTCCGATCACCTGTTTTTGATACTTTATTTACACTGTGTACATCAGTGAGTGAGAAATTACATCTTACACCTGGTGTACCATTGAGGTATAGATGCAAGGTTCATGGGCACTTCATTACCCAGACAGTCTTGCTGGCTATAGACTGATAACATTTTGCAGCTTTGTGAATACATACTTAAAAAACAATTTCAAAATATGGGAAACAGATACAAACACTCTCTTATGAATACTTAGCAAGGCTGTACATAATACATTATCATACTACTAATTAACATGCGGGCAAGCGTGGGACTGTTCGGACACACACAGGAACAAACAGGGGGAAATAAGTGACGCGTATTCGTTTATGCAGATTCTAGCAGCTATCCACACTTTTTATGATCGATGCCCGGGCATTTCGAATTGGTATATAAATAATAAAAAAGAAATATGGTTAAAATAAAGTAATTATGGAATCTGGATTATGCACTATATTTTACTTTTTACAAAACTATAATAGGTTTAAATTTTGGAACTTTTACAGCTATTTTATGAGCATTAAAAAAACTCTTTCTGAGTGAATGGCAGGCATGCTGGAAGCGACTACATCTTGTGTTTTTTTTGTAGTCTATGAGGCGAGTTGATTGGTAAACAGAAAAGTCACAAATCACCGCACTGTACTGAGGTTTCATTTGTATATAACATTAACAGTGACAGTGCCACGGCTCCTTGTATTTTAAAATATTTTTTTGAATATGTTCCAACATTGACAAAGCTCCAAAATGTTAACACTATCTAGCCAAGACTGTCTGGGTAAGAAAAAGCAAGAAATATCACTTTGAATGCCCACAAACCTGCATCTATACCTTAATGCCAACATCATAATGAGCTATAACCTTCATATTAAAGCAATAACATCAACAGTGATCACTGCACGGAGCATTATGAAATGTACACATTAGATCAAAAACAATAAAATACTCACCACATATTTTTCCAAACTTTCAATAAATTGGTTGACATCCTCACTCTTTGTACAAAGATCTATAGAAAAACAATATTTTTACTTGAAAGAACACAATAAAAGCTATATTACAGCCACAATACTGAACACACAATGAACAGACGCAATGCTGAATAGCCAGTGCTAGTGCAGCCGCAGTGCTGAAACAGGCAACTGCAGTGCTGAAACAGGCAACCGCAGTGCTGAAACAGGCAGCCGCAGTGCTGAAACAGGCAACTGCAGTGCTGAAACAGGCAGCCGCAGTGCTGAAACAGGCAGCCGCAGTGCTGAAACAGGCAGCCGTAGTGCTGAAACAGGCAGCCGCAGTGCTGAAACAGGCAACTGCAGTGCTGAAACAGGCAGCCGCAGTGCTGAAACAGGCAACCGCAGTGCTGAAACAGGCAACTGCAGTGCTGAAACAGGCAACTGCAGTGCTGAAACAGGCAGCCGCAGTGCTGAAACAGGCAGCCGCAGTGCTGAAACAGGCAGCCGCAGTGCTGAAACAGGCAGCTGCAGTGCTGAAACAGGCAGCCGCAGTGCTGAAACAGGCAGCCGCAGTGCTGAAACAGGCAGCCGCAGTGCTGAAACAGGCAACTGTAGTGCTGAAACAGGCAACTGCAGTGCTGAAACAGGCAACTGCAGTGCTGAAACAGGCAACTGCAGTGCTGAAACAGGCAACTGCAGTGCTGAAACAGGCAGCCGCAGTGCTGAAACAGGCAGCCGCAGTGCTGAAACAGGCAGCCGCAGTGCTGAAACAGGCAACTGCAGTGCTGAAACAGGCAACTGCAGTGCTGAAACAGGCAACTGCAGTGCTGAAACAGGCAGCCGCAGTGCTGAAACAGGCAGCCGCAGTGCTGAAACAGGCAGCCGCAGTGCTGAAACAGGCAGCCGCAGTCAGAAACTGACTAAATGCAGTATTATTCTTACAAAAATCAAATTGCTGAGTTTACATTCAGCTCTATCAAAACGTGTTGCTGTTTATTACAATCAGACTAATACTATCTAGTGATTGAAAATAAATAATCCATCATATCATCAATACAAACATAGCGACAGATACTTACATGCCACTGACTGTAGAGGAGAGAATCGCAAACAAACACCTTCAACATCCGATTCAATCAGGTCTATTCTCACTTTGGGAACTTCAATGCTTAACTTCTCATGTAACTAAAACAAGAAAAGTATCGCAAGTCAAAATCAGTTCATGTCCTATACGGTATAGTGCACACTTTAGAATGCAGACATGGTGAACCCTGACCTGTCATTCAACCCATTTGTTGACAAACATGATTGTTAGTTAGCTGCATCACAGTTATTCACATGAATTCACATTTTCCTGAGATTAATAGCAGTTACTTCTGGACCATGGCACAATTAATTAAACACTGCTATTTTCGGCAAACTCAAAGATGGCATCCACCAAAAAGTAAAGCTTGATCACATCTACATGCATGTTCGATCACAGGAACAATTTACTCAATTAAACACAGCCTTAAAAATTCTTGATGCAGAAATTCTGAAATTATTTTCAACTGGAATCATATTTATATTAGACATTTATATTTTATTAGAGTATGAAACCCCCAAAGATACTGATTTGAACATTGCAAACTTGTGAAGACAATAATTAAACCAATATATGAGAAAAATCGCTAGCAAATGTGTGAATAATTAATCTCACTGACAATTTGAATTGGCATCAAAAGAATCTGATGAATATCATTGGACACTTCACAAGGCGTCCAAATATAATTTATTCAATAAAACCGATAGTTAAAAATATTAAATATTCACAGGATTCCTGCATCAAGCTGTCATGTTAAAATGATCACATTTTGAGTATTTATTACTCATCAAAAAAACATAATTACAAGTTTCTCAGAAAATCAATGAATATATCTAGTATAATAACATATAACACTTACCCATCTATTGAAACTATTGTACATATTTTTGAGTGGCGTGTCTACACTCTTCACATCACTATCGACAGAGTAAGGTGCTTTCTCAGCACCAGGTTTGCCTTTATCTTCATCATACCGGAAAACGACTATCGTGGAAACCACATCGTCTTGTAACTACATGAAATGATGGCAGAGTAAAAAACAATTTGTATTCAATGAAGAATTAAATGATGACTCATTTGAGGATAATAAGGATGTGAAAAAAACATTCTGATTTGATTGAAAAAATTGAAGAAAAAACTGCAATAAAAGACTACAAGATAGCCAATACTAAATATTAGTAAAAATTACTGCCACTACAAATCACTACTATAAGCAGCTTTGAAGAATTTTATTGAGATGTACAACTAATAAAATTTATTCATTCTCATTGTGATTATTGAAGGAACGAAAAAGTCTAAAACATGTTACACACATGCGTGCACACACAATTGCTTCACTCGGGGGAAAAAAATTGTTTTTTGGGACTACTATGTGACATATTTAATCGTATGACTATGAAGGAATTGTGGGATGCCTGTCCGTAACATCCCAAATCATTTCTAGTAATCAGTTCGAAACCAATTGGCAATCGTTTTGACAACTCCACTGCAATGTCACATAATAGTCGCCAAATCACCAATGAATATAAGTTTGACATGAAGTTAGAACATTCCTAGTGCTCTACAGTGTTCATCTGGAGACATATTGGAGATAAACAACCAAACAGATCAAAGAAAGCAGGAGATGACTTTTGAATGAGCATGGAGGAAGTCCCTAGTGAAAAGTAGATGTACGATGTAAAAACCAGTGTTCATCCACAATTGGTAGATGATAATCAACAAAATACAAATCAAATTCCTAACTACTATATTTTTTCAACTACTAAAGTTTTCAAAAAATAGGAATCGCACATTGACATTGTAGAAGCATCAACTGAACCCCAGGAATCCAAAGAAATGTGCATTCAGGATTCAAGCTTTTGATGCCAAGACAAAGTAACAAACACTCCTTGTTATGAACAGAATTATCAAAAACCAACGCCCCTATGTAACCCATAAAGCAGCCTCACCATTTTTGTTAATAGACCCAAAAATAAAAAATTATAGCCAAAGAATAATGCATAACCAAAACGTTACTATGGTGACACCAGGATACACAAGAGCCAAACTTTCCCATACCCACTGCATACAGAATATTCCACGATTCAACACATTAGAGCCTGTATTTTGCACATGGTGTAAATTAAATGGATTTGAACCCCAAGACATTTCTGGCAATATCATGCAGAATAATGTCCACAATGCTGACCTACCTGGAAGACAACTCTGGACAGTAAACCAGGAGCGTGCTGATTGGTAAAAACTGGATGGATCCCTATTTTGCTTCTCTGAAACATTGAGGCCAATCAAAACACATGGTGATAGAAAGCCTTTCATCCCAACATGCAACACTGCCCAAAACACCTGATCCTTATTAGTCCATGCAACACCAGGGGGGAAGGGGTCAATACCACAGGGGTCCTTAACACCAAGGGGATACCCATCAACAAGGAGTCCTTATCAAGAAACTAGGAGATCATGGTTCCGTATTCACAACTAACAGTACAGTGCGATTCTACTAGTCTAGCATGTCCTTTTTTGTACTTGTGATTAAAGTATTGTCAAAAGTCGATTTCGTTTTTGGGTTATGTTTCACTCTATTATGAACATAACATGATACACATACAATGTACTCATGTTATGCTGATAAAGTTTCAGAATGTAAATGAACACTATTTTACCTGGTACATAGGACAATTTATCCATGTGGTTGACATAAGTAATATTGTAAACCTCCAAAATTAGCATCAAATGTTAACATGATGAACACCAGATGAACACTAAGACAGTATGTTGTGTTGAACATAAACACTGAATATATGTTGCACATAATGTACACTAAGAAAATATTTTGAACATAATAAACACTGGGAATGTACATAATGAACACTAGGAAAAAGTTAAACATTATAAACAGTTAGAAAATATGTTGAACATAAACACTGGTAACAAACATTGACAATATGAGTACAGGAAACATATAATCAAACATAATTAACATTCAGAAAAAAAATAGGATAAAGCAGGGAAAAAGACAGGATGGCACATGTAAGCTACCACTTACAAAAAGCTGGATGGTTTTACCAAGAACCTGCTTAAACGAGCCCTCAATAACAATCTCAGAGTCTCGCTGTGGTGGTTTCTCCTAATCAAAGAGCAATACGGAAAGCATGAAACACATATATGGTATGCATTGAAATTAAATACACAAGATCAGTGGTAAAAAAGATTTGACCATCCGACCATTATGTAGGGAAAAAGAAGTGTACAGCAACACAAAGGAAAGTTATAAGGTAATATCTGGACAAGATGACCAGACGCTCAAAATAAAACCACCAAATGATGTGAAGTCAGCACAATAAAGCACAACATGCTAGACTAGGTACAATTTTGGGAGAGACATAATTTTGCAAATGAGAAAATTACAAAAGTTCACTAGGATTCTTTAAACAGGGGGGTTACAGTAAAATTTAAATACAGGATTCAAATGGAAGAATTCTGAGTTTACAGCATTTGAAAAATAAACGCAGCATGCAATATGGGCTTTCAAGCGTATACACGGCAACCCAAGAACTTTTTTAAGTAGACTAATTTTACACCCACTATAAAACTACGTGCAGCGACAGGAGACGATACATGTGACAATCAAAATTGTATAAACACATTAAAAAGCAGATATAAGTTGTAGGCATAAGCTGTAAGCAGATGATTTTAGACACTGTATTCAATCTGTTTATCAGGTGAAACATGACATATTCATGTGACAATGTGGCCACAGTGACCAAGTATGTGTTGGTGAAAGTTCGTCCTTTCTGCGTTTTAGAACTTATTTCATATTTTAGGAATTATTTAATCATATATATCTTTTACGGAGAAATGCAGACATTCTTTATTGCCTGGTTGGTGTTAATGAAAGCTTATGTATATGCATAATAACTGAGCTCCATTCAACACTTGTGGAAGCTCTTGTTGTTTTTATGCCATTCATCTTTGCTTTTATCTGGATATCAAGATAAAAAAAACAACTTAAGCTGATGGTCAGTCAGACAGATTTGTTTAAATTAACATGGGTTCTAGTGACAGTACAAGTGCTAATGATGTGTAAATAAAATAATATGTTGATAACATAACGTAATCTCAACTAAATATTAATTTGATATGGGTTAACTGTATTTGGCCCCCCCTATTTTTGTACTCCCAAGAATGGTATAACCCACCTATGGAACACAATAGGGTTGTACCATTCAGATGAGCAAATGGGTAGAATGGAATACTCACATTTAGGTGTATGGTACTGAGTGTGCTCAGTTTTTGTGCCATATGCAAACTCTGGAGAGAAAAAAACACAAATTTTAACAAGGTGAAATGCTGACAAGAAATTCATACAGAAATTAAGACATCATTTCAATGAGGGGAAGAGGGTTTCAAGTAACTGCCCCATGAAGCGTCTGTAATACAGTGATGGATAATGTCACAAAAACAAGATTTTGCAAACAATACTACTTTTTCAGATATTGAGAACCTCAGAGGAAGCACCACAGGTATTGCGCATGTTAACATTTTATGTAAATATTGTTTTTGACACGACTATGCCACTTTCACTCACAAAAAATAGCTTTTTTTGTCTCCCACAAAATTAAAGCGGGTTTATAGTATGTTGTCATGGTAACTGCTTGTCTATAAATATGTGCACAGATTGCAACATGGGGATTGTGGTGCTATAGACTGTTCTGACCACATGTCATACCAGGTACTACTAACGCAATGAATGATAAATTGAGTGCACTCACCAAATCAGCTGCAAGTTTGACTTTTTTGATGACACCTTTGTGTCCCATAGATTGTAATGTGACCCACAGTGGTAATGCTGATAACTTCTCATGTAACTGGGAAGAGCACAGACCAGCAGCTAATGACTGGAGGTGAGAAACAACAAACAGTACAATTTATTAGACAATGATATCATAAAAAGTTTGTCTTAAATCAAGACATAGCAATATTAGTTATGAAACATATTTCCAATTGAAAAAAAAAAAAATAAGCAACTTTCCTAGCAATAGAACTTAAAATCACATACACACATGGCAAAACTAGTGATACCAGTGAAATATTAGTATATTCGACTTACCATGGCAGGGTCGGCCATTTTGTAAAGGGTCTAGAAAATGTATGGTTAAGGAAAGTGATATGAAATGCATACTTGGTGTACTATCAAAGGTAAATGCAGGATAATTACACATACATCCCGGTGTAACTGTGTATACTAATTTGCTTCACTAGCATTTAGTACACTGATCCATTTTTATTTTTTGTTGAAGGTCATTTATGTAACAGTATACAAAATCTTTGTATTCATAATAGTAGACTGGACTCTTGTCATGCTATACACATTTTGTATTGCTGTTCTATTCAAAACAAAGGATACAACTGCTGGCACTTCAGGTAGTCCCAACCATACACTTGGTGTCAATGTCATACTATTAGCTTTCTTAGCAGCCTGTTAAACGAATCAAACAATTTAATTTTAGTAATAAAAATATAGCTTCAAATGAATATAAACAATGTCCTTATAAGTTGAAAATATTTTTTACTTTGTTTTTATAAATCTGAAACAGGATAAATGTTTCATTCTTCAGTTAAACTTAGAGACAAGAACAACTTACCAAAACCGATGACGGCGGTGCACTCAATGGCAGCGCTGCAAGATTATGTCCTTCTACATGCAGCCATATTCCATTGCTATCACAGATCTCCCTAAGTCGATTGATATTATCAGTATGGCCAGCTAGTGGAGTGCCTGCATTGGCTACTAGTAATACAGGTGTTCTGGAGGAGGCTATGTCATCTTTAATGAGTCTCTCTAATGACGCAAGATCCTAAAATCATACAAAGAAATAATGCAGATTATTACAGAAATAAGGGAGAACCATTTAATAATAAGGAAAGAAATTGGGAATAAAAGAGTTGAAAAATTATTCAAATTTTAGTATGAATTCAATATGCATTTATCTTAGGAAAATATCAATGACAAATTATATGAACATCATTAATCACCCCCAAGTTTTCAATTGATTCATCCCTTAATGGTACAACTTGGATATTTAAATCGACTGCAATTAGATGTATTTGGTACTCACCATGGTATGTTGAGAACCAAACACTGTGTTACACGGCACTGTACATAGACTAGATAGTGGTAAACCAAGCTACAAAATAAGAATACAAATCAATTATAATCAAACAGGTGGTTTTAATTTTACAAGAACATATTTAAAAGTGCTCTCCTCTGGCAATTTAAGATCCTGTCTGGTTATTAATCTTGTTCAATGCCCTATGTAAAGGCAACTCTGATTGGTCAAATGTTTTAGAGGTATATCCAATCAGATCTGAGTATCAAGTACACAACTTCTTGGTATAATTATGCATCGTGATGAAGCATGTTTACATAATGTCCACATTACCATGCGGTTCAGACATTATTGAAAGTGGTAGCTGGTGATTGTAGTCCTTGGTAATTAATAAAAATATAGGATATATCACACAATATCTGAATAGGTGGACTGAACCTGTTCCTATATAAGAGCAGATATTTTCATTCAAGCAAATATGAATTAGTAATCGGAAACTTTTAATACAGAAGCAAACAATACTAATGTTTTAGATAGACAAGCTGAACACACACTATACATATATAAGCAGGCAAGCACATCTGTCTACCATTTATGTTTGTCCTTAAAACATAACTTATAGATTACTATAGATTCATATTTACATGGTAAGAGCGAACCAACAAAAAACAAAATAAATCATCAACCAAAATAATTGTAAAATACTAATTTAATCATTCAATGTTCATTGTATATCCATGCATACTTATTTACAATTTTTCATAGTGCATTTATTTCATGTTTTTATGTACATTGCATGTCAATTTCCAACAAAAAGAATAGAGGTGAAAGGAAAGAAATCACCAACTTACCTGAAAGCACATATACTGTCCGAGTCCAGGCCTAGCGGAGGCACTGACGTATATCACTGGTGGTTTAGTATATAAAGCGTTGAATCCTTCCGTAGTAAACTTTTCATACTTATTATGAAGTACCAGGCGACATACTCGAATTAGACCCTCACGGTCATCACTATGGTAATAAATAGAAGAATCTGGAAACCTAACAATGAAGAATAAGTAATACATTTATATCTATTCATACGTGAATATTATGTTTATTTCAAATCATAAAAAATACAAGTCAAAAAATTCTCTTCTCCCATAATTTCCATTAAACTCTGGGAATGAATTGAAATGTACAATGTTGTTGTTACAATGGGGTTAGATGAAAGGTGCAGTCTACTCATAAAGCTAAATGTCTTTTTTCCGAAGAATTTCATCAAAAGATCTAATATAAAGATTAACAAACAATGCTCTATTACTCTGTACAACAGAATGTGAATACCCAGATAATTTACAAAACACAAAGTGAGTGTGCTCTCCTAATAGAGTTAAAACTACAAAGTGCAAATTAGACCACAAAAATGCACAATATGGAATATCACAAAATACAGAAAATAAAGGACATTTAACAGCTATGAACGCAAATTTAAAATCATGAATAATCGCGTTGCCTCTCACATAAAAGAGACGAGATTTAGCCTGAATTTAAGATCAAGCACTGGAATGAGATATCATAAATATGCAAAACATTGTTTCAACAAAATTTGAACATATGCTGTGTACTGACTGGGTCAATTGAAGACAATAGCAAACATTTGCATGTCGTTTTTCATTGAAAGTTCTCTCTTGAACATATGTCATAAATGTGAAAAATAGACAACACTTCCTGCATATGTATCTTCCTTTGATTAATGACTACTGATTATGACTAATTGCAATATGGTACCACCAAATATGGCAGCTGGCACGGTTGTATATTACACAGCTGCTGAAAACATTGTGTCTAGTTTATTTTTCTACTCAAATAATTAGAATTATAGGCGAGAAAGAGTTTACTGCAGACAGACTTAATCATTACCATGGTGATTCTAGAAAATTTCAGACTCAATGGTGCCATCATAATGTTTGTTACCGGAAAGGAGGATTCAACACAAGACCAAAGTGACACTGAGAGCTGATTTTTGTTCTATTGACTAGACATGTTTATATATTCCCCAAGATTAAAATGGCACAGTTGTCATGCCTCATCCAGTTCAATTTATGCCCCCTGCATTGTATACATAGAATTGTTTTTAAATTATATAATTTTTAAAGCCCAGTCTTCGAACATTCCAAGTTTCAAACTAAATCCCAGCATTCCTTGCACACTATACATCAGATCGGTGTTGAGAAGATGCTGATCTTTAGCATCAATGAGACCATTGTGTAGGCATACACAACAGAAAACAGTTCAGGAGCATTATTCATATAAACAAGTATGAAAAATATTGGTTATAGGTTTTTAGAGAAATCTTACATACATGAGTAAGTGCTATTATTTTCATAGTAAATTATTTTTGATTACCTAACAGTGAGATAGGCTAATGTTCTGGCCTCATCAGAGATGTTGATTGTACTGATTAGTGATGTCATATACACCTTTGTTGTATGTTCATTATCAGCAGAATAGAGGTTGTTCTACATATGTTTGATATACATTGTGATTAGATGAAAATCTAAGTGATAAACTCTAAAAGTTGGAAGAGATATACAACAACTTAATATCACTGCATAAACTTACCTAAATAATCTTGACAGCCAAAGTGTTGTATCAGAGAGTATTCTAGTGCTAAGTTTTTTAAGATGTTTATCTTCCAATGTAGATATATAGGCCGCAATGCCCTGTGATATCATGGATACATTCGCAACATTATCCAGATTTCCTGGGGTTGCCATCCTGAATAGTGAGAGAAATCTAAGGTTAATAATGAGAAATTAGCGTTACAGATCATTATTGTATGTCTGTCACCGTAACGCCATAAGTTACAGCGTGCTGTAATTTTGCAGTATTTTACGAGGTATTTTCATTCTACCATATTAGGAAATGCGAATTCCGAACAAGTAATAAATAATGTACTTTACAGTACAGATTACAACGACACTGGTGACAAAAACAAAGCCAAACAAAATGCACAAATTTCACAATTCAATAGACTCAGAAATTATATTTGGTATGCATCACTCCCAACACCACCCAAACAAATTAAATTATCAATTTAAAAATCTTACAATGAAGGTATCATTAATGCAATCCCAATATTAACCATTAAGGACACCGTGACCATATCATCATTGAAAGTTTCACTTCAAAGAGAAAACCTCTGGCTTCAACTGTGTAAACGAATGATTCACATTTTGGAATAGATTTTAGAAGCTTATAAACAGCATAAATGTTCCCACCATATTTTTCACATATTTTTGTATTTGCTAATTTTTTAACCAAATGGACATTACTTTCTTTTGACCACTGCTCTTAATTAAATGTGTTACACAGGATTATAAAAAGTTGACTTCAGAATTCAAAAAGTTAAAGATAAATGCAAATACTTACAATTTTTTCTCCTTATTCTCTTCATCATCATGCAGAATTAGGTCTTGTATAAGAGTCAGAATATCTTCAAGTTTTTGGCCGCTATGGTGAAAATGAAATAAGACATATTAAAATGGTATTCATGCTGTTGCTGTAAAGAAATTTACAACAGAAAGAAACACATGCCATGAATGAGATTATGCTTATTCACAAAGAGTGGGTATAAAAACAGATGTCTGATACACAACTGATTTCCAGCCATGATGCAAACGCCGCATTCCACAAAAACACTATAGAACCTAGAGTTATGGGGAAACCAGGATAGTCATTGTGTATTATAGCGTACGATGTAAGTTGGGACAAATCCTAAGCAGTCGCTGGGTTGGTGTGGCTTGTAGGTTGGTGTGGCTTGTTACATGTAGCTGTTGTATATATCCGGTAGCGTCACTTGTGTGTGTGGGCTCTGAATACAAAGACAACGTTCAGCACTGTAAATGTGGTGAAACTCCTGCATTTCATACTAAATGCTTTCTATTAATAATTTCACTTTCAAATAATATTCACGAGTTATGTCTGTCATAACCTTGTTAAATGTTATTAGCATATTGTGTACGTGTGGTTCAGGCTTTTTTTCAGTATTCCACAACGCATTCATCATCACAGTGAGATCAATTGATATTTACGTTACATGCAACGTTGCATTCAGCACTGTCAATGGATCATATATATTCGGTCTTGACCCCCACTCTGTCTATTGTGGTTATTGGAAGACGCTTTCTATCATACTAAACTGGTAATGAAATTTAACAACTACTTTTTCATTTTACAACCAAATCTGAATGAGCTATGGCAAGCCACAACAGGTCTTGATTGTGTACAGCCCCACCAGTGGCTGTACCTGGCTCCATGCGTCAAGTTGTCAAAAAGAGTAAATCTCCAACTTACTTTCCCTCTAAAGGTCCAGGAATATCCTGCTTTCCTTTCACGTGTTTCATTTTCCATCTTTCCTCTCTCTCTTTTTCCATTTTCCTGCAGATAAAAAAATCGAGGTCAACTTGTATTCTGCAATATTTTTGTTTTAGTAAAATAAGGTAAAAACAAACAAAAAGTGTATTATATGTATTTAGCAGCAGACAGCGTTAATGAAAACACCCACCCCACCTACATGGACAAACATTTTGCTTATATAACCATTATTTCATGTATATATTACAATGAAAGTTCAGGATGAAATCAGTTGAAAGGGAAAATTACATTTTGTCAAGTGATTTCATAAATCCTTTTTTTTTTAAACAATTTTATCTACGTACAAAATGCATTATTTGATCAAGCATTCTGTGAAGCATGAATATTAATATAAGACATATATATGAATATGTATACAAAAAATATAGGATTCAAACTACCACAATAACGCATTGCCCAAATAAGAACAGTTTGAAATAGTATGCAATGAATGCACACATACAGCAAATAGTTGGACATGAACAACATGAATCTATGACATCACAAACAGTGTGCAGACTATAATACTGCACACAAATAAAGCCTAGTATAATCAGAACGACTTAAACAATAATTTTGTTAATTTGTTTGTTCGTTAATATTGAACCAAACTTATTTATTTATTTTTTTATTATTACAAACTTTGTTTTGACCAAATTGTTATGGTGTACATTTTACTTTTATTCAGACAAACTAAACTAGTTTGTAAAAGGTTAGCCAAAACCAACAATGATAAAAAAGGAATTAGAAGTAGAAAATTGTTTCCATCTATTAGACTAATCCTTATCTACAAATTATGTCACTTTTGCAACCAATGGCCAATCTGGACTATTCTGAGGAAATTGTAAAAACATGAGATAACCCACAGAAAAATAAAAATCAGAAAAAAATGTGCTACTTAAATAACATAAAGACTATTTATTTACTGTAACTATGAGAGTGACAGAATTTCCTGACAATTTCCGACAATTATCTGTCAAATGTTCCCTTCAATAGATATGTTTCACTACTTAACT